CTCGCCGTCTGCTTCCCCGGGGGTCTCGTTCCCCCGCGCTTCTCTCCGCTCTCCCTGTTCTCCTGGGGATCTTCTGCCAGGGAGAGGACCGGGACTGAGCTCTGCGCGGTGCCGGGCAGCAGGGAAGGTGTCTCTGCCTGTGGGTCCCAGCGCAGCCGCTGCTTTTCCCCCGCCTGAACGCGTTTTCCACCTACAGTTTCTTACGGCTTAACTTCTTCCTGCAGCCCGGTCGTGCTGCCTGTCCGGGGCTGAACTGGCAAATGCTCCATCTTCCTCCTGAACAGGACCCTTCCATCGGTTTTGCCAACATCAGTTTGCGTGTTTCTTGCCTTCTGTAACTGTACCTCTCCCAGCTCTGCACTGTCTGCGGTTTTAACAACTGTCCTGAATGTACTTCATTTTCCCTAAATAAAGTCATTAACAGGACCAGGCTAGGGCATAAAGCTCTCCTGTCGAATAAGTGCTGTCAGGGCTGGACTGTATTAAAAGGCAAACAGATTTGTTAAAAAAAATATATTATTTTTTTGTTTTCACTTTTTTTTGTGAATTCAGAAAGAAATAACGTGAAGGGTAGACGTGCATATGGTTACCAGTTTCGAGGCATTTAAGTGATGAGTGTGTAGCAGGTTTTGGTTTGGATTTGTTTCCAGTAGTTCCTTTAGACAAAACATTCTTACTGTGTGTTTACTTTTTCAGTGGGATATTCTGCAGTTGCTCTTAATCATGTCATCGATTTTAAAGAAAAGAAACAGGTAACTTTTGATGGGGTTATGTTTTCTTAGTGTTCTCTTTTGTAAACTTACGTGCCTTGTTACATGTTCCCCAACAGTTTTATCAGCAGAATGCACATCTAGATGGAAGTTCAAATGTCTGCATTTGTGACACAACTCCCATTTTATAATTAATTGTCATCATCCTGCAGTTAACTTTTAATATGGTCCATGTATTGTCTCTGGGAAGTAGTTTTATTAGCATTTTTTTTTTTAGGAGTGAAGCACAGCTTTTGTTTGCATTGTAAACTTAACTCATGAAATTTTTAATAACTTCAGTTTCTTTTCTTTTAAGGAAATCGTGAAGCCAGTATCTTCTTCAGAGTTGTTTCCATCTTTGCCTCTTGTACACGTATGTCTAGTTAAATTCTATCCCCGTATTATTAATCTGGGTTTGTTTTGTGTTTGTTTTTTTTTACCTTGGTTTGTTTGTATATGTTATTTTGTGTGTTTTGCTTGCATAGCCCGGGGAACCATAGCAGTATTAAAACATACTCAGTTTTTCTGCGTTATTTTACTTTTTCCCTTCCCTTCTTTCTCCTTTCTATTGACCCTTCCTTAGAGAAACACAGTAAGTCATTATTTGTAAGGGGCAGGAATATCAAGTAGATCAATATAAAATGGGGAAGTGTTACTGCAGACTTTAGAGAATTTGTGTAGGCAAGAGTATGAGCAAACCCCCATTTTCTTTTTGTAGAGGACAGGGTGAAAGATTTTTGCTTTGAAGCTTTTGAAGTCTTACGTATTCTTTCTTTTTTGTAGGGGACATCTAAAAGAATTAAAGTGCTAACCCGGCTAACACTTGTTGTTTCTGATCCTTCCCACTGCAATCTCCTGGTAAGTATATTCAGTATATTAATTTTCCAATTTGCATTTCCTTTTTTCAATGAATGAATTAATGTAACTTTGGATGGGGAGAATTTGATGGATTTTATAGGATGCTCAGCAGTTATTTCTCTGATGAAAACCTTAGCAAATAATGTGATCGTGAAGAGATGCAGACTCACAAGACTGAATGTGGCTTCTGTTGGTCATTTGTCACTATAGGACAACTGTTCTGTTCCTCAGTTCTTTGATTTCTGGACTTTTCTTTGATTACTGGACTTCTGTGCATAAACTAGAAGACCATGAACAACCTCTATGTCTGTTTTAGTGCTGCGTGATTGAAGAAAAAGGTGTGAATGCCTTACTAGATGGATGGGACAAGGCTTAAAATGAGAACAAATTAACTTCACAGTAGGGCTTACAGCAGAAAATTCCTACGTAATCGAGTGATTATTTGCTTTGTTTTGAAAGTATTTTCTCTCATTGTTTTGGTTGTAATCAGTGTGCATAGCTTTGGTATCTGCCAGAATTCAAGGTAGTGATTGTTTCCTCCTTTTGTAGAGATCAACGTCTGCAAATATAAGGTTATATGACATCATAGCAGTATTTCCAAAGAATGAGAAACTGTTCCACGTAAGTACAATCATCTGACTAGCACATGCCTCTGCCTGTTACAGCTCATGGATCTTTCACTGCTAAGGATAAAGCCTTCTAAGGTGGATCTTGCACAAGTTAACTTTGTATTTTAAAATTGGCTGTTGATAACTCAGCATTACCTTGAGGGCATAATCTTTCTCACCAACAATTTTGCACTTGGATTATTCTCCATAGAAAAGGATTTTTCTTTTTTTGTATAAGAAATATGTGACCATTGGAGGTGTGCTCCAGTTATAGAATGGCCCAAAACCAGTCTGTGCCAGTCTGTTCTCACGAGCCAGGGAAGCTTTTCTGTTCCTGATTGTGGTAGTGACATGTACTAAAAGATGTGCTCAAATTCTCCAAGTAATTTATATCCTCAGGGGTATAAGGAAGCTGTGGTTGCCAAGATAATTGTAGAACATGCTTCTTGTTTAAGTGTCCCAAGAGGATTGTTTTGGGCTGCAACAGGAATGTGCACTCCATGCCAGTAATAAGGTCTGTGCCTGTTGCTTTTAAAAGATTTTGCTTTTTAAGAATTCTGACTGTTTTAATCATGTTAGTTCTGTCTGCTCTTTGTAAACAATTATCAGATCACCAGTATCGAAAAAACTTTCTTGTGTAAGTCTGAGGACGTAGTGCAAAGCCAAATTTCAACGTTTATTCCTACAATGTTTGCCAAACGTTTCTTGAGGCCATCCAAGCACTGGCGAATTACATCTTCCTGACTGTCTGGAGTTTCCCAGTAGATGGGGCTCTTGCCTGTCGTGTGGCCGGGGAAGCACCTGGCTGCACAACTGCCGCGTATCATTTTCTGTGTGAAGTTCTTGCACTTCAGATCCTTTCAGCAGGCAGGGTAACCTTAACTTGCATGCGTGTGTGGCTTGTGCCAGAGCCAAAGCTGGGCTGAACATTAGAGTGTTTGGAGAAATTTCCTCTCCAACTTTCCACGCAGTGCAGGAATTTCTCCTTACAGGGAATGTTGTATGACTCTTGAGTTTGTTTTTCCTTGGTGCTATTTTCTGAAATGTTCTTGTCACTGGAGTCCTGTAGCTATCCTGGCATACGGGCCACTCCCTTTCCCACTGTGCTCAATTTGCAAAATGGAAGAGTTTTCTGGTGATTCTGGAGCTAATTAGGAAAGCTAGTTTTCTCATCACATAGGACAACTTGGATGCTTCTGATGTGTATTCTCCTCTCCTTCATTTTCAGCTTTCTCTCTCTCTGAATTTCCTATAGCCTCACTGTTACAATTTCTAGGACATGGTTCAGAACTATTTGCTCTTTTACATAGATGATAGTTTTTACTCCACATAAGAAAAGATTTGAAACTGGCTCTAATAGTGCTAAACTTAATGCTTACAAGTCTAATTTGATACAATAGATGCCAACCATGTCCAGGGTAACAGAGTTGGTATAGGTAGAGCATGGAGATAAAGTTTAGTCTGAAAGGCCTGGCTTTTAATATCAAAAACCTTGTGGTTGTCTGGATTCTTTGCATTGCCTGCTCATGTTCTGTGGCTCTCCTGTCTAGGACAAAGTGCTATCAAAACCTGAGAAACATTCCTAAAGCTGGGTCTCTGCTCTCATATCTCTCCAAATTTCACGTAAACAAACTAGTAGAAGACTAGTTTGCAAAGCCATAGCCTGCTCCATGTTAGAGCTGAATGTGGCTGTCCTGCAGCCCAGCCCTGGGACTCCTCACAGCCCCCACCACTTCCGTGCTGGTGCAAGGAGGGATGAATGGTTGGTGCCTAGCCCAGGTGTATTTGGAGCAATTGCTGGCAGGTTTCTGAAAGCTGAGCATTCCCCTGCACACAGAATATTCCTTGTCAACATCTTGAGCCCATTTTATCTTCTTTGTTACAGTGCTGCTTACAGACGTTAATCTGGCCCTGTGCAATCATCTTTATGGGCTAGGCATATAGAATTCCTACGTGTATTGTGTGCATGAGGTTATATGTAAATCAAGGGTCCTCTTTTATGTGCACTTAATTTTCTCTGTAGGTCATTGTGGAGATTTTCCACTCTTTGTTTGTACCTTCCCTCTTTTAATACAGGCTGTAAATTGTGGTGTGAGGTCAAAGCTAAGCTTTTAAATTATGACCTCGGGTGCCCTCCTCAGACTTCTCTAGAGGTGTGGCTTTCAGGAAGGACAGCATGTTTCCCACCCAGCCAGGAAAGTGAGGCCCTATGGATCAGCTTCCAATACTGGGCATGGGGCACCACCACTGTGGTGGTGTCTGTCTAACATTCTGCTTGTGTTTCAGCCTATTGGTTGCTTTTGGTAGACATACTTAATCTGTAAAACAGATGCTACACTGGAATTAATGAGTAGTGGGGACAGTGACAGTTCCTGGGCTTTCCTTATATAAACAGGGGTTGTCCTTCATTAGCTGCAAATTCTTTTGCCAAAAGCCAACATTGCTTCTGCATGTCCTTTGTCAGATAAGAGTGAAGCAGTAATTTTGCTTTTGGGCTAGTCATTATTTTATTGGAAAAGTAGTTAAGTAAGTAACAGAAGGCTTAGGTTTCAAGCCCAGAGTGCTCAAGCTGTGCACCTGTAGCCCTGCTGTTTTATTGATGTATCTGTAAGGCACAGTACCTCTTCATTTTAAAACTGAACTCACCCTGGAGAGACATTCCTTGCATTAAGAAATGAAGGAGAGTATCAGTGCAGTCACATGTTTTTTGGCTTGTGTAGTAATCTTTTCCTGTTCCTTTGCTGCAGATTGCTTGCACGACCCTAGATGTGGATCTGGTGTGCATAAATGTAACAGAAAAGCTGCCATTCTACTTCCGAAGGCCCCCTGTGAATATGGTAAACTTACATCTAAATTGTTTTCTTGCTGTTAAATGCTGTATTTAATGTCAGTCTGAGTTGAGTTTCCTTCCATTTCCCTCCCACCATTCCCATCCAAGTGGTTCTTTTATTTTCTTACACAATGTGTAGTGTTGTTTTGGATGTCCTTCACTTCAAGGCCTCCGCTGCAGCATTTAATAGTGATGAATGTCCTTTCTCCCTGCTGTCCCCCACTTAAGAAGGCAGAAGTGGCGTTCCCAAGGAATGGAAACAGAGCCTTAAGGCCGCTGCTGTGCAAGGCAGTGAGATATGGTATGAGAGCTGACTAAGCTGCCTCCCAAACCAGAAGTGGTACAGCTGTATCAGAATAGATAAACAGCCCTATGATTTAAAAGACAGGAGAATGCGAACAACAGTGTTAATTTGGGAGAAGGATGTCGTGCCAGTTATTTGGAGGACAACTGTATTGAATTCATACTTAGCTAAAATAATGTCTTGGCAAATTAGCCAAATGTGGAATTGTTAAATATCTGCTTTGGGACACAAAGCATTTTGTTAATATGGTTCTGCCTACTGTTGGTAGCTTGCCAGAAAGCTTAATCTGAGTATGCTCTTAGGTGAACTGCTATTTTCCTCTGAGTATATGTAAAGGTTCATTCCACATGGTCATTCTTGGCTGATGTAGTCCATAGTGCTTAAAAATTTAAGTTTGGAATTGGCTAGAAATCCTAACTCCTCTTCTACAGTTTAACTTTAAATAAAAATTAAAAATTAACTAGAATTATTCCTGAAGCAGAAGAAAAGTAATACTTTGGCATTTACTACAGACTGAGAATTTCAGAATTCCAGTCATAATAGCAGTTTTGTATGAAATGTTGTTTGAAAGTACCCTAGCTGCTTAAAACTCCAACAGCTGACCCAGGTGAGGAGCAGGGTGGCTCTTGCAGCCCTTTGTTTGGATACATTTTCCTCGCAGTCTACTTCTTATCTTCCACACTCCCAGTTTCACGGCAGTGTGTCTGCAGACTGGTTTTGTGCATCCCTGGATGGTCAGTTGTCAGTCACTTTTGGCAGGCAGGTGAAGTGGTGGGGATGAGGTTAAAAATCTGGTTGCCTAGAAACTGGTGTATTGCCATCACTGGTTGTGGTTGTGATAAATTCAGGCTTCTCTTCTTGTTTGCAGATGTTGGATCAGCTCTGTATAAAACATTTGTTGTGATAGCTTCTGTTGTGTTTGCATTCAGATGTCATGCGTGGATGGGAGCTGGGTTAATTCCATCTGTATTCAGTTACTGGACTCTCTTGAAGTATTAACATTGCAGCATATTTTTAATAATATGAACATAAAGCATAGAGTAGCATTTCAGACAAATGTAGCATAGGCCGGGGAACAAGAAACTCCTAGCTTTGAATTGTCTTTATCACTAGCTCACTGTGTCCTATAGCAAGTTGCCTAACCTTTGCAAAATCAGGAATACTAAGCTTTTGACAGATAGCAAGGGATTTTAAAGCACCTGAAACTTATATGAGTATTACTATTTGGAACCTCTCTCAGCAGTCACTGTTGGGAGTGAATATTGCCACAAATACCAGAGTATGCTGTGAGACAGGAGAGAAGGGTTCTTGCTGCTTTTATGTAAGGACAAATTCCTCATCTGCAAGATGTGGGTACTGTAGAAGGCAGGAGTCTTCCTTACAGCAGGCTGTGGGGCCAAAGTTTAAAGACTTGTTTCTGACCAGCAGTTACCTGTCCCCTCAACTCTGCGATAGTGGAAAGCCAATTACAACCTGTAAGTTGCTGGTTGCCAAGATTCAAGTACATGTATCTGGTGTACCGTGAAACCACCTCCCCCCTGTGCTCTGTCTGGAACAATTCCTCCTTTTTTTTTTTTTTTTTTTTTTTTTTTTTTTTTTTTTTTTTTTTTTTTTTTTTTTTTTTTTTTTTTTTTTTTTTTTTTTTTTTTTTTTTTTTTTTTTTTTTTTTTTTTTTTTTTTTTTTTTTTTTTTAATATGTAATACAGTTAAATTGAGAATAAGCTACATCAGTAATAGAGAGCAGTGGTTAGATTTTTATGCTTCTCTCCTTTTGATTTTTGATCACTCTCTTTCATGTGAAGGCAATAGATCGAGGCATTTACTTTGAACTTCTTTACACGCCTGCCATCAAAGACTCCACAATGAGAAGGTACACAATTTCAAATGCAATCAGCCTGATGCAGATCTGCAAAGGAAAGGTAAGCTCTCAAAGTGAAAGCAAGCCAATTAATGCCATTCAAGTTCTGGAGTTGTACAGACTGAGCCATTTTAAATTAGTTTGATACTGGGGTTTCTGAAGCTGTGACTGAATCTTTGCCTACTACAAGGACACAAATATTCTAGCTCCAGATACTTCCAGCCATGCAGCACTTCATGCTTTCTTCTTAAGCTGTCAAACTGTTACATCATTTTTTCACAACAACCTATCTGTTGTTATTGTATGCAACACCCCGAAACCAAAGGAAAAAAACCACAAAGTGCCAGAAATCTAAGAGTTGCACTAGAACTGAAATCCATGCTTCTCCTTAATTTGCCCCATTTCATATTTCTAATTGATGAAAAGCTCTTTTTGATAGTATATCTTGAATATGTGGGGTAGAAATTAATAATAAGAAAGTGAAATTTACTAGCCATTTAAAAACCAGATTTCTCAGTGTACAAAACAAGCACAACAGCTAGCTGCATAGCTGACTGCTGTGCTGCAGTCAGATCAGCTGCATTCTTCCCTGCTACTGAAACCCAAGGAAAGAGTAATGCTTGCAACTGAGATGCCTGTAATCCATTGCTTTCATACTTCATCTCCTCCCAGGCTACCAGACTAAGCTGCCTGTCATGCTGGGTCCTCTCAGGCCGTTTTTTTTTTTGACAGGAAAGCATATCATAATACATATGGAAGTTAAAAGAGATTTTAGCACCCACTGCCTTTACTGGAAATGGCCGTTGCTGCACTTCATCAGTAGAGAAGCCAGAACTGGCATTACCCTTCAGACTTAGCCTGAAGTCGGATATACAGCTTGGAAGGCCAATTAAAAGCAGTTCTATCATTATCAGTTCCCCTCAGACCTAGCAGCCTATTTTATAGGTCAGCACAGTGGGTCAAACTTTAATTCCCATGCTACTACAAAAGAAAGTGAGTATTTCACAGAATCACAGGCCTTTCCTGAGAAGTCCAGCTCTGGGAGTTCATTGTACAAAATACTGACTTGGGAGATGAGGTACATGTTCACAGAACCCCTTTCCTTTTGGATTCCTTTTTGCTAGTGCTCCTCTTTTCTTTGTGCAGTTAAATATATGCTTCTCATGCTGTTGTTGATTTGGAGAGCACTGACTGATTTGTAGTCACAAAGAGAGCAAGTGGGACGTTCGGGCACTTGGTCAGTGCACAGTGACCTTTTTTTCTGCATCTGTTAATCTAGTGCCTCATTTGTGCCTGGAAGGTAAAACGTCTGGAGCTGGGCATAACAAGCTGTTATTAGGCACTGGAAGAGCTGGGAGAGGACTGCTAGCTTGTCTTTATTTTTTGCTTCCATACTCAGTACCTGGTGGACCTGCAGAAATTGTTGGTAGCCATCACTGGCAGTATGTCTCCATCAGTTATGTGAAGGCCTTTTTTAATGAGATGTGGGATGGCTGGTCCATAGGCTGCTTGCATTGGCACCTGGCACACAGCTCTTGCTTTCTGTAACCTATAGTTGCTGAACATGTAGCAGCTTTTGGATCCTTTTGTTCCTCCTCTATTATGGTAGGGCAGAGAAACTTACAGAAATTTACTGGTGTCCTCAGAGTTGGTGTTGAGAAGAGTCCTTAGAACATGTTAAAATTTGCAGGGAATGAGCCTGCCTTGCCAAACAAAAGGTGTGCCATAACCATAGTCCCTCACCTCCCTTTTTTGATAACTGAATGAGGCTACAGTACCTGGTGCAGTGCACTGAACAGCTGCTGTCTCCTCTACCTGGGGAAATAATGTTTTGCTTTTGAGTTCTTCCCTTTAGCCCTTCCCTTGGATTTGCCTTTGCCTGCCTGTCCTTCACTTGCTAGCAGTGCTTTTCTTGTCTGCTCTTGTCTCCTTGTCTTACACATCTCCGAAATGGAAGCCAGTTGCCCTTGAAGCTGACAGTGTATCTCCAATATACAGCAGTGAACCATGATCCCATGCATGTTCAAGATGGCTTGCACCACTGCTTTCTTTGGGAGCTTCTCTGAGCCTGGCAGACAGGTGTTGGTTTCTACAGCTCAGGGCAGGAGACTTGAATTTTTCCAGTAGACTCTTGCAGTCAGCACCACTGAAGCTCAAAAGCCCCCTTGGGATCTGTAGTGCAGTCATTTTAAAGGTGAACTGCAGAGAAAGAAATGTCCTAGGCTCCTCTTGATGTGTGCTGTTAAGTCGCTTTGATGTATGTATTGTTTGTTTCTGGCTTTGCTTATGCTAAGGCAGTTACCTGTCCGATCCTTTCCTCCTCATCACAGAGGGAAACACAGTGTGAACATGCAGTCATTTCCATGCAAATAGCTCTTTCTCCGGTTGAGTTCCAGCTGCACCCAAAGCATTTTCTCCCAGTGTTTGCCCTGCTCTTTGTGCTTTGGGGATGGCAGGAGAAGCAAAGCAGTGCAGGGAAAGGATCAAAAGCCTCACCTTGTAACCAGAGGTGGTGTGATGTGTTGGTGGTACTGACGTCAGAGAGGGAAAGTCACTGTCTCAGTACAATTCTCATTTCCACCCACTCAAGCAGGAATTGCCAAAGCCTTTTATTCAGTATAAAAGAAGGTGAATAATTTTTTTATGCTGCAGTTTCCACCTGTGCAAAACAGTCTCCCCCTGGGTGTGCATCCTCAGAGGTTTAACATCAGAAGAGTGCTGGCAGCTGAGCTGTGTTGTCTGCCAGCCCCCAAGCAGTCACGTACGTGCTCTGTAAAACCCTTTGAGAGAGAAAGGAGAAGGCTGCCTCTGCCTGGCAATGTTCGTGGCTGCCAGTGTTGAGGGAAGTGAGTTTAGGGCATGACTTGGCAGCCACTGCCTAACTGTAGACAGTTTCCTTAACCAGTGTGAGTTTGATTAAGGCCAACATGAGTGTTGAGGTTAGGATTGAGTTGTACCACAACACAGAGAGTGGACTGAAAATTTTTGGAGTATGAAGTTGTCTAAAGGCACTATCTGTAAACTGTTTCTGTGGGATCCTGGACTCCTCAGTCCATCTCAGACCAAGTCATTTATGTGGGGCCTCTTTCAACTAGTGTAAATAAAGGGAGACTTCTTAACATAGTGTGTGTAACTCTGCATTTCTTCTTTACCCTTAAGTTCCTTTTAAAGTCCACTACAAGGGACACAGTGATGGGTGCTTGCTTAATTCCATCACTCTAGCTTTTATACTGCATAGCCTATCCTGCCACAAGGTGTGGTACTTATTCAACCCACATCTGTGAGAGGTTTGTAACTGCAAGAGAAGATTTGTCCATATGACCTTCTCTCTCTGGGGGACACGGAGATAATCTGGGTATATTTGTGTCCACAAATTAAGACCCACACCCTGCTAGAGTTCACTTCAGCTGAGGGCATCAGATACTCTTATGCTGAGCCTGAACTTAGCTAATGCTCAGTGTCTTTGCTGCTTGATGATTTTTTTTTTTTAATTTCTTGATGCTGTCTGTCAGATGAATCTTTGTTCTCTTTTGTTTTCCAGAACATTGTTATATCTAGTGCAGCTGAAAGGGTAAGTCCCAGAAATTTGCTGAAGTCAGAACAGTGTGAGGATTTATCTGTGCCTGAAAATACAGTTCTAATTATATATTAAGCATATAAAAATTGTGATTTTTAGTATGAGTGCCATCTTGTGGGTTTTTTTAATCAATTTGCTTTAGTAACTAACTGTACTGTGGGATTTTTTTGTTTGGTTGGGTAGGGGTTTTTTTGCTGCTGTAGTATTTTCCATGACAATTTTCTCCCAGATGGGGAGTCTGTTTTGCAAAATAATAGTATTGTATCTTCAGCAACTGGCTATTATTTAGTATTTTATCTTGCCTTCCTGATAGCACTGTCCTGCATGCTCACACTCTGTCAGCCTGCAAGAGAGTGCATGCATATATCCCACCTTCTTTGTTTTGTTTTAGCCTCTTGAACTACGAGGTCCCTATGACGTGGCTAATCTGTATCCTTTTTCTGAGTCAAAGACAGCAGTTATTAGTAGCATGAAAGTTCAGAGTGTTTTTTAAATATTTCCGTCTTTCATAGTCCTTGAACTTTATGCAGTGATGCTTATTGATGTCCAATTCAATCAATCAAGGCTCTGAGTTGGTGTGGAAGAAACAACAGCTCTTTGTCATGAAGTGGCACAAGCAGTCACTGTAAATAGTAATGTCTGTCTGTTCAGTATGTGTTGATCTTGTGTGTGTGTAAGGGGAAAAATGAAGAAAAACTATAAAAATCTGTGAACACCATGAACCAATCTAGAAATTATGATGATCTCCAAGGTGCCACATCTTGGGAGGAAGAAGAGATAAAACCATATTTATATTAAGCAAGAAAACTTCCTGTCTGGGTTGCTGGTTACTTCTGTTCTGAATTTTCCAGTCCTTGGTTACATATGTGTTATTAAATAAGTCATTGTGTTCTAGAAACCAAAGAGAATGTCTCTTTCCTTTTCAGGAATTCAGATGCATTTTTACTACTCCCCTTCTCTGCCCCCAAGCATGTATCTGGACATCCTCCCTTGGAGGGAGGAGCATGCTCTGAGTCATGAGAACCGTGTGGGAGTGTGTGTGGCTTGGAAGGATTTTATGTGTAACATTTCCTTCCCTCTTAAAAAGTGCAGTCAGGCTCAACACCAAATTAGAATACCTAATCTGGTGTCATCCCTGCTCTAGGTGGAAGGGAACTTTTCAGCATAATGCTTTCATATCAGACAGTGCCCTTTCCCCAAAACTGGGGAATATAAAAATGTTGCTGTATTGACAGACTTATTTTCAGAAGTACAGCTGCTTGTCTGGAAAAAAGCAACCTTGCCAGGAGCTTTCCAGGAGGGCTGCTGGGGAACTGCAGCCAGGAGAATTGGGTGCCTCAGTTCCCTGCCTCTGGGTAACCTTATGCAAAATGTCACTTTGAGTTACAGCTTTGCTAATTCCTAGTTATTTGTAGAGTAAGCAAATGTATCATGCAGACAGATTTCTCTATTCTGTTTGTTCCTTTCTCTGCATTTTAATCCTGAGCAAAGGTGGCAGAGGTTTGCTGTTTGGGCTGTCAGAAAGTGAAGCCAAAGCAGCCGTGTCTACCAACTGCAGAGCCACCATACTCCATGGAGGTAAGTCAAAGGCACATGCAAGCTTATCTAAGTAACATTTGCATTTATTAAACTAAGTTCATGTTAGTGCACATTTCCAGAAGGTCTAAGACCTTACAGAGCAAGTCAGCTTGGGATTTTAGCTCCCTTGTCCAATGCATGAAGAGGAGCTTGTGCAGCAAAGGTGTTTTGTTTTCCGTTGTTCCCATGTTACAAATCAGTGGCTGAATTGATGGTGCTATCTGTGCTGGAATACTCCCTTAACAACATCAAGGAGTCATTAACTGTTAAGCCAAAACACAGATCTGCCTGTTGAGCTGCATAGTGAACCCATTCATTGCTTCAGAAAGGGTTGAATGCTGATCTTGGTGACACCAGCAGAAACTACATCATTGACTTAGAGAATTCCAGGATGCGTTTGTTTTGTGTTTACCCTCTTGTGGCATGAGTGCAGAAGCAACCTTTGCCATGTTCCTTTTCTCATGTTTCATTATGTGGTCAATTTCTGACTTGGTCTTCAGCATGAACCATTTCAGACTTGATGCAAAATCAAATTCTCTGGGTGCTTGCTGCTTAAAAAAATTGTTTTATACAGTGTACAAAGGCTTGAAGTTCACAGTAGCTCTCTTCTTTTCTACTTGCTCATGTGTAATATTAGCAAAGTGGAAGTTTAGCTTATGGTCCCCTGCAGAAGGTTTCCAGTTTTATTTTGTGTCCTGGTGTCAGTGCAGCAAAGAGATGCTAAAGTTTGTGTTTCAGCAATCAATTTAGACCCTTGCTTCCCACTGTAGCACTGATTTCTCCATCTCTACACTCCTTTTCACATGCTTATTTATTGTTCCTTAGTGTTTTCTTGGTTTTTGACATTTGTTCTGATGGCAGTTTAACTTAGTGACTGAGTAGTCACATCTAGCTCTGCCAGGGTTTGTTGGATCAGTATGATTTTTAGTCACCTTTCCAACAACTTGAGTTACTCTTAAGTTTCAAATGCACAGTAGGATCTTGTTTCACTAGAGGTGGGGCTTGAACCTACTGGAATTCACAGCAGGTAGCTTTGATCTCTTGATGAGGACATTTATGTGAACAGGGTCCTCTTCCAGTCTTCTTATGCCCATAGAGACAGTGTGTTGTAAGAATTTTTGTCAAGGTTATGTGGAATTTCTCAAGACCATAATCTGTCTTACCTGTGAAATTAAGCAGCAGATGTCATTTCCTGGTCCCAAAAAGAATACTAGCCCAGAATAAGCTGATGTATCTTGGCAAGGTTCTGGCAGAGTCCCTCTGCTAATGGTATTTGTAGAGAATCTCTTCTACCTCAGATTTTGTGGAGAAGCTTCTGACCAGTAGTTATGAAATTGGATTTGGGTCACTAGGTCGTTTGGCAAACAAATGAGGAGCCTGATAACATCACACAGTAGTATTTTATGGTAATGCTGAGGGTTCTGTAAATAAAACATCATTGAATATCATAAATATCATAATATCATACTTACTTGGTATGTATAGGGAAGCCTCTGCCAATATAGCTGTGCCAGCATAATCTGTTTAAGCATCCTGGGATATGTGAATCCTTTTTTAATACTTTTTAAGAGCAGCCTGTTTTGCTCAGAAATGCTTTGTGACAGTGCTTCAAGAATGTGTCCTTCTGTGACTATAGAACTGGTTAATCCTGATTTCCTGTGGTTTTGTGTGTCTGCAGCCCCTCAGCCCCTGCAAACCTCAGTTTTCTCTTACATTTGCTGTAATTCTACACCATACTCACCGTTGGCTTTTCCCCTTTAGTTTTCCCACTCCATAATGCAGCATATCCCCAGCTCCTGTCCATGCGTGTTGCTTACCCACTGTGTATGCTGAGTGGCTGGCTACTAAACACATTGGGGCATGGATGCCTGCAATGAGTAGGCATTAAATGCAGTGTCATTTTATTTGAGGTACTACAGCTTCTGCTTGTATGTTCCAGAAACTCGGAAGAGTGCCTGTGGGGTAGTGTACACTGTGAAGAAGCCTCGCAAGGTTGACGAGGAAGAAACTACACTGCCAGCCTGCAAAAAAGCTAAGACTCAAGCTTGAGGACTGAACCAATTTTCAACAGGAGCCTCCATCCTATCTTTACCAAGTGTTGAGTCTTCCCCTATCCTCCAGACAGCCCTGTTCCTCCCTTATTACTTTATTTAGCTTGGAGAAGAATTATTCTGGTGTTCAAGTGAGGAAAGCTGTGGGAATGAGACTGCTTGATCATGGTTCACCACATCTAAAGGGTCATGCTGGGCTTCTGGCAAAGGTCAGGAGACTGTCTCTTCACCCTGTTTTAGATGTTCTGGAATTACTGCAAACTCAATACTATGTTTCTAACACATGGAAATTTTCAGTTGTACAAGTGCAAGTGCATTCCTTTTTTATTAAAAATGTTTCTAAGAATGCATGCTTTCCAAGTCTAGCTCTTACGGTTTCTTGAGTTTTAAACTCATCAGCTCACCTCAAAGTACTAAACCTTACAAATACAGGTCAGTAGATAAAGCCTACCTCCCTTTGGTGAGTAGTAGAGCAGTAAAAAAACCCCAACAAAACAAAAACCTGCTTCCCACTCTGTTTCATCATCAATGGCTATAAAGAGGATCTCAGCATCTGGTACTTGCTAAGAGATACCTTGAATTTGTATTCTATTAGGACTGACTGACCTGACCTGGTAGACACACATCTCAAACGCCAGCCCTGTCCTACCTCTCTTGAAACACAACAGTAGCAAGAGATAGTTACCACACATAAGAAGGAAGAGCCCAAGGTTACACTGAGTGTGTGCTCAGTGTGGAGTGTTGCAGTCACAGCATAACAGCTGTCTCACCTTGGCCTGAGCAGTCTCCATGTCACATCATTTTTACTGCATCATTTCCTTCTGTATGTCCTGGTCTGGGAGTGTTGCCTGTGAGGGTGTTAATTTTGCTGCCTCCTGCCTTTCTGTTTTCCTTCCTGTTAATGCCACAGTAAACCTAATCTGTCTGCCAGAAGAACAGTCGTAACGGATTTATAATCAGCAAACCATTTTCAGAGCTCATCTAAATATTGACTGAAATTTTTATTTTTATAAAACCAATATAAAATTATGTCAGCTACTGTACTCAATATACTCTTGTGGACATTCAAGTTCTCTGTTCGCAGCTGACAAGAAGTTGAGAAGTGGAAATTGTAGCATGTAAAATATTGCAGAAATCTTGCAGTGGGTCATCTCTGAGCTCTTATTAGCTGAATGGAGAAGAAAGGATAAAGTTCTTGAACTTACAGTTTTGTATAATGCTGGTTTAAGTCACAATAGCTTTTGCTTTATTCAACAAATCATGAAATATTTTTCCTATGTTATTATTTTACTTGTTGACTTTGTGACTTTAGTCTGTTTTATTATAGGCATTGGGATGTAGTATATATGCAGTAGTTTAGCATTTTGGGATTTATCTCCAAGTGGGACTCTAAGCAGAGGAGAAGCAGAAATGTGTCTGTGCGCTGCAGTTTTCTGAACTACTTCTGAATTATCTTTTCCTTGGCCAGAGAATAACCTACCTTGAGGATAAGAGAAGTTGTTTGGTAACTGTATGGAAAGTGGCATTTGAATGCTAGACATCATTCTTGCTACTTGTTTGACTTGATTTAAAAAAAAATAATAAATTAGTCTGCATCTTTGCCCTTTAAGTAGATTCAGTGCTTCAGGAGCTGATTGAGAAGTTTCTTCTCCCCCAGTTTCCTAAAGCACATTGTTCTGACCACTTTGGTGCCTGAACAATTGAACTGCTGCTCATTTAGGTCAATAAACAAACTGAGCTAGCCAGCACTGATCTGATGTCCTTTCTGTTTCCTGCAAGGCATGCTCCTGATCTCTGAATAATTGTGCAGAGACAAGGAGTGAAGTAGTGGCTTGCAGAGAAAGGCAGAGAGCAAAAGTTTGCCGTAATTTTTATGGAGAAGAGCGTGTTCACAAAGCCTAAAGCTGGCAGGGGGACACTTGTGAGTTATGGTGCTTGTGTAAGAAAAGTCTCATCTGTCTAAAGCTGTTGGCTGCAGTCTAGGATGGATGGCTGCAAACAGAATAAGTAAGAGATGGCAGTTATCTAACAGTGGCAGGGAGGCAGCTCGAGGGCTAACTGCACTAGGCAGCTGAGACTTTCTTTGAGTTTTAAATAATTTTACAGAGGCCAAGGTGTGAACTTTCTTTAAAGAGAGACAATTGCCCTGTGCATGCCACTCCAGCAAATAAAAAGAACCACTCCATTTATTTAATCTGAAATATACCAGTGCAAAATGTACAGAAAAAGCAGTACAAATTTACAAATATACAAATCTGGTTTTGCATTTTTCAACCATTAACATTCACAGTAGTCTAGCTTAAAATAATTCACATTCCTGATCCTGTCTCCTCTCCCCTTCATAACATTGCATGTGAATCCCACAGTCCAAACAGTTACATATGGCTGGAGCTCTCTCCTTGAGCTCTGTATTGATCACAATTTCTAAACCCTTTGTAAGCCCCATTACTCAACTGCTTCTTTAAATCCACTTGACATCTCAGTACACCTTCTTCCATTGTTCTTCCACATATCACCACATATTTAACATCTTATTTTGACAGTAAGAATTTGGCAGAGGCAAGGCAAGTTAGAGCTATGGGAAGGCTTGAGGCAAGTTCCTAGTGTAGTTGGAAATACTACCATCTAAGACTACAGGACTTATGTTGCTGGCAAAGATTGCCTTAGGATATAAAGCTCTATTAAAAAAGCTACAATAATACTGGGAATCATTAAAAATTATTTTTAAATAAATAAATAATAGTAATAAATAAAGCCATTTTAAAGCCAGTGGAATTTTAACACCCAACCTGCCTTATAAAATAATTTCTTTGCATGTTTGTTTTTCAGTTTTCAGTGAAAATACCTCAAATAATCCAGTGCCATAAATATTTTCATTAAAAATATTATGTTCAGGGCTATTTTCCTCCAGGTTCCTAGAAGCATTTAAAAGGAGCAAAAAGCGGTCTGATTTCTTTCTTCAGAACTTGCGTTGGGTGCTCTTAGAGGACTTGTCTTTCAGGCTGTTGAATATCTCTTTGGTTCCGTTCTGCCACTGAAGAACAAGATCCATAGGGGTTTTCCCTTGCTTTTTAAAAAACAGAGGAAGCAAGATTGAATTTCAGCCGGTTACCAAATTATTTGTTTTTCCCTAAATATTTTTGCAATGTATCTGCCTGAGGTGAGACACTTCTGCACACACAAGGTCAGAATAACTCTTCCCTTCCTGAGACCTAAGTCCTTTTCCTCTACAGATCTAGTCCCATCACTGTTCAGACTCATGAAGAGATCTCTCTGTGTTTCAGTGGATCTGAGCCATGTTAGTAAATACCATGACTAGCAGAGCATGCAGGTGTTTCTTTTGATCTAGTTTAAACTGGTTAGAAATAGATTTATATGAAACCTCAGTAAGGCACTCTTCCATTTAATGGAGAATTCAGATAAAAATTTGTATTGGTTTAATTAGGTTATGAACCACATATGAATTAAACAGAAGCAACTGTTAATGCAGGCAAAGCGTGGGAGAGCAAGTCTGGCCTTCGGGGCTGTACCTTTCATCATTTTCATACCCTGATGAGAGATAATGCTGGAAGTGGTGCTGCTTCAGGAAGTAGGGAGTACAAAGTGCTGCAGCAACTGGTTTCTTGTCCCCCTAAGTTTTGATTAATTGCCAATCAAAAACATTGGCTGGCATTGGTAAAACTCGCTGTCAACTCACTGCTACTTGGTTTGGGTTTGGGGGAAAGGAGGCTGTGATGTGCTGTGTCTTAACAAGTGGTCGTAGAGCTCTGGCAGTCCATCTGCTGCTGCTATGGTGGTGGCTATGAGCAAGGAGTCAGATGTAGGGCTCCTGAAGTTGGAGCTCTGCTGAGCCACAGGGGTTTATTGCCCAATGGTCAAGTTAAAAGCCAGTCATCCAGATGAAGTGCTTGGGCTTGCCATTGGCTGTAGCTTAACAGCAAGGAGATTTCAAGATCTTTGTTGTTTCAGTGGTGTTTGAAGCTCAGGAGTTGTGCAGAGAGCAAGTGTAGGCTGTGTATAATTAAAATCACAGAAAGATGTGATGTTGTTTTAAGTTGCAGCTGGTTCTGGTTTTAGAAGATATACTGGTTTTTCCTCTTCTCTCTGACCTCCCCAATTTAGACTTTCCCTATGTCAGTTCTGCTTTAATTAGCTCTGAAGTAATCTTAATTAAGTCTGTTCACAATCATCTCTCCCAGCCTTGAAACCTATGAAACTGCTTTGTAAGGAAACTTATTCTAAAGAATTACTGCATTTTTTTTGCTATTACTTACGCAGTTCTTTATAGTGAGATCTGCTCCATACAGAATCAGAAGCCTGTTCATTTTGTAGCGGTTCCGC